CTGCGATTAATCGTGCATGTACGATTCGTTTTCTGGCGTATGTCATTGAGTAAACACGCGTAAGGCTGTAAGCTGGCTACATTTCAAATTTCTTTTTCAAACCGCAATCAATTATGGCACTCGTTTTAATCATATGTTTTAATACGCCAGAATACGAATCGAACACGACAAATAAAATGGCCACTTTTAGTTGTACATTAGGAGTTTGTGTGACTATAAAGTACGCGAATATCCAAACAATCTTCATCATAAAATAATTATTACTCCTGAAATTCTGGGCTGTGAATAATATTATATAGCTTGACCTGCTGTTAAGCATTTCATAATATTTATTTGTAGCTAATAAACGACAAATTAGCGAAGTCTATAGTGCATGTGACGATGTTTATGTAAAGAATAATCAGTACCGATCATCTCGAGATAGGATTTGTGCGTATAAAATCAAAGAAGTCAAAGAAGGACGTACATGAGATGTAGATTACCAGAAAAGAATCTATTGGATACTCAACGAAGACACACAGTGATTCTGCACGGCACTTGCTTCTGAATTTGGGCGAAGACGAGCCTTTGCACTATCAATGGAATCTCCAGGCGATGGTAAATACTACATATCTGTTATTATTAATGCAATTAATTTCTGTGTCTTTTAAAACGATTCGTTATCTACGTCCCATATGATCATATCTTTTGTATATAACACTTTAGATCGACCCTTGCATGCCATATGTAAGCATAAACAAAAGGCGCGCAAAACATTACCGTGAGACTCATTCTTTAAGTCTTTAAAAGTTTGTATTCTGCGTCCTGCATTTACGTGAGGTTTTAGAAAATGTCGGAAATATTACTAATCAAAGAGTTGCAATGGCCACACGTTCTAACGAAAGACAGTGACTGAATAAACGGTTTCTGTCCGAAAAGCCACATATACTATTGCATAATGTTTGGCACGCTTCCATTTGGCAAACGATTCATTAATAACTGAAGTATCTGACGGCGTTATTGAAAGCCTTCTTCTGCTAAGAAAAACATGCTTGTTCCAATGGCAAGATGTTGGATCACAACTCATTTACTCTGAGAAGCAATTGAAGTCACCAGTCATTTTATCTGTGACCAAGTCAGGTCGCAACTCGTTCTGTACACTTCTTTTATTTACCATGAACTGTGAAGGCACTCATGACAATTATACATTAATATACTAGTTCACAGTCATACTGCGATATGCCAATCTGACTGCACTAGTCAATGTGCATCGATAAATTTCCAGTGCAAGTTATAGAAAAGTTAATTTTCATTAGATATATACGACTTTATACGTTTGACTTGCGTTGGTAACAAGTCATTTCATGCAAGTCCAAATCAATTAGTCAGAAGTCATTTTGTTCCGAGTCAAGTGACAAATCATTAATCTGATTAACAAGATAAATCACAAAAATTGCGACACGAGTCCGACCAGAGTCCAAGTCGATGCGACTTCAGCCTGGGAGTCGTTCAAGTATCTAAAAGACGTTCAAACGTACATCTATCATGTTCACTTTGCCTTTTTGATGTTTTGGTGGTAGCTAGAGCTCTCGGTGAATATGCTTTCACCTTCTTATCACAGCTTCTAACTTATAATGATGCCCTGAAGCGCCATTTTGGAAGTTACAGCAATACGGTTACTCCTATTATATTTCGAAGTCACTTTCACAATTTTGAAAGCTCGTTACGATTCATACATGTTCAATCATGTTTTTTAAAATTTCGTTAAACTTTCTGTACCTAGTACCATTTTTGATATGCTCTTTTCAGTGGCAACCTCGCACCCAGGTTCAATTTAGCTTCATTCTAATCGCTTTTGGCTCCGAATGGCCAATAAATTACATATTCCAGATGTTGTTCAACCATTTATTCAAATCTTATTTGAAAAGTAATTGAGTCTGTGTGTGATGAAATGGAAGCGCTTGTTAAACCATCTATAGAATCCGAGTTTTTATCTGTCGGTACGCTATCGTGCAGTCAATAAGTTGAACAGCTATAATATTAGTTAACCGGTCCACCGAAGCACGAGAACGAACGAATATGCAAGTATGTAAATTGTTTCATTGAAATCGCGAAAGCTGATTGGTTTGCATATTAAAACATGTACGAATAGACCAAAGTGAACGAACGAGTGAACGAATGATGAGTTAGTAACTGTGGGAGATACGTTACAACCCATTCATTACGACCTACTTACTACAAAACGGACATGCCCTGGTACGCTTTGTCAAGTTCAAACTCAAATTTCTTGCCAGTTTTTCTGTCACCGTTTATAGTAACTCTATGACATTCCTTGTACTGCGTATCATCATTATTAATCGTCGTTGGTTGTCTATGACGATGATCATACATAAACAGCTACGAATTGCTACGAATTAAACATTCTTAACAATGTTTCCCATTCGAATGAATGCAAATGATTCCTAAATGTGCGTGCCAAACACTCATACATACAAATATTCATGTCAATGTGCTAAACAACTAGTGAACATATCTTAAAGTAAAATGTTGTTTACGCCAGCGCTTTGATTGTTTGAAACGACCTGGAGGATAGAGAACACACAACATAACCTGGCTGAAACAAAACACACAATGTGGGCTGTCTTGACTGTACAGTAGAATTCGTTGTCTGTGCATATTATGCATGCCTTTCAAACTTAGCGTTATAACGTACGCGTAAACCATAGTCCATAGTTTCAATAATGCTTCCAAGATAAGTAAGACGTATAGGCGAGGTGGAACGAGCCGTGATTCATGAGCGGTATATGGAGATCGGTCCGATCTGGGACATGATTGCGAACGATATCGTGAGGCATGAGAGATTTCGTGAGATTGGAAATCAAACAAAGAAAACAAAGAGAGTAAATACGGCAGCATGTCGTGCACCAGTTGACGAAACGATTCCACGCTCTCGCCTGTCATCGACCAAAACAAATGCTCACACCTTTCTAATTCGCTGCAGAAATCTCTTCCCGGGAAATGTGAACCAACGAAGTCGAGGTTTAGAATTTGTTCAGTCCAAGCTCTTGGTAAAATGGACTGAGCGCACGTTGCTATTAAACTGAGCAGCGCATAGAGCTGCCTGATACAGGCAGATAAAGCATTCAATTCATCTTCGTCAATTATTTCTCTCTGATCTGTTGCCTCTTCTATGGCCGCATGGATTACAGGTATATAAATTGAATATGCGTGAACAGCATTCTGAAGATTTACGAGTACTATATTTATGACCTTAACGTCGTCTGCCATATTTCGTTTTACCTCCTCAACAAACAGAAGCTCAAATCACTTTAATTAATCACACATGCATGCGCATACGAAATTGCATTTAGTTTAACGACAGTGCACTCTTTCAAAATTTGAATCTGAAAAGGTGGACTTTTTTCTATACAATCTGTACGTACTCATGCAGCAAATTGCTTCATACGAATAGAAATATTTACACAGCTAATCACAAAGAATTTTAACGCAACGATAGCTCAACTAACGAAACGAATATGCTAATTAAATTTGTCTCAGCCAATAGAAACCGTTGAGTTGAACGAATGTGGACGGTACAGTCGTTCAGTTAATGAGGCTATTCGTTCGTTCTCGCGCTTCGGTGGACGTTAACTAATAAGACACAAAGCTACTCCACGATACTGACAGACAATTATTTACATGTGACTGAATTTGGAGATGAAGTTGTATTTTTCCCACGGTTAAATATCAAATGAGTCTTGACATGTTTGTTAGAGTGCTCATGAACCTTCAAACTATTGTCATTGATTCACGCATACAATTTATGACTGACCAGACCAAAGCATATAATCACGCGTATATAATAATAATTATTCTGAAACTCATGAAGAAAATACATTAAAGAAATCATGAGCGTGAAGGTTTGTATATCTGGTACAGAATCATGCTAATTTACATGAACTTTAATTATAAGTTCAATTTCCTCACCAAATATCATTCATTTATTTTAAATTGTTGAAGAACACGAATGTTCTCATCAAGATGTTTCACAAGCCATTTACAACATTCACGGCCGTGTTGTACTAGCCTGCAAAGCAAGCGAGCGCTGGCTGGCGTCTGCTTTGCGGGCCATGCTAATGACGTAAAACTGTTCTTTACACCAGTCTTTTCACGCACGCGAAGAGCGCAAACACGCATGCATGTCTTGAACCCCAGCCACGCGTGGTTAGATTTAGCTTCAAGAAAAAGATAGGTAGTTTATCTGAAGGTAGCGTTACAGTTATATTCATTTCAATCATGGGCTTAATCCAATGACCCACTGATAGGATTGTGAAATATTAGGGGTGTCCCAGATCTGGATATATACTGCATACATGTATTCTATATCCGCCAAAGTACAGACGTCCGGCTATACTATCCGGTAATTTGCCGGGTATTTACCGTATAGGACTGGAACTTTTATTATAACCACAAAACCGTCTGTCTTAAGATAGTGTGAAACACATTAAACAACTAGTCTACTGGACATGCGACACATTAAAACGAAATTCAAACGAAGTTTTTTTGTGATGTAAACTGCTTTCTGCTGTATATAGTCTGACGACCCTTATGCCACATACTAAAATGGACAATGCACTATTTTATGACAAAAGTTAGTGACGTATTGTCCAAGTACCACCACCGTATCCGGTATCCAGTTATTATATCCGGTTGACTACTATCTGCCAGTACCATCCGGCAAAGCAGTATCCGGCACATCCCTATAAAATATACGATAAAAACATTACTGCATGTCAATACAGTATCTTTTGTATGTTACGTAACACGCGCTCAAAAATAATGAATATGCTTTTCCACTTGGTTATGACTATATTCAATTTAGGGTTGAGCCGATTAATCGGCACGGCCGATAATTAAATCGGCCGATATTTGGCTTTTTCAAAATAATCGGTAATCGGCCGATTATTTTTTATAATCGGCTATTTACTGATATTCGCAATTTTTTCGTTTTTTTAAGAAAAATAACTCTATAATCTAGTAATCTACACTCCGTCTTGTTTTTGACACTTTTGTTGCGCGTATTTAATCCCATATCCATTAATTCATTTGACTCGTACAGTGACGGATAACTGTCCAATATGAGTAAATATTTTCCGGAACACACTAAAACTAGTACGTCAATTTGTGGCGTATACACAAGTATTAAAAGTTGTCAAAAAACCGTTATCCGGCGCTTGTACCCCGGTACACAGAAATATCGGCCATAGCCGATTAATCGGCCGATTATTTTTTTATATCGGCTCCGATATATCGGATCGGTGAATCGGCTTTTTTCTGGTATCGGCTCATCCCTAATTCAATTTTTAATTTTTGATGCGTTTCTCAAGCGGCAAACTACCTTAAAAGTGTTTAGTACTTTATCTCTAAAATTATGCTAAAAAGAAGAGATTTAAATTAACAATATTTAATTATTATTTTGTGTTTCTCAATCAGCAGATATATTTAAAAAGGTTGCTAAGTGTGTAAACTATAAAATAAAGCTAAAACAAAGTAAGTTTGAGAGGGACGCCGAAAATATTTTAGGTTTTGAACACTTTTCATCGCAGCAAATACGCGACATTGAAAATCGCAGCAAATATGCGACATTGTTATATAGCTAGCGTGAACACCAAACGTGATTGGCTGATTTGTGGTCACGTAACTTCAGATAAATGCAATGCGGGCAACAAGTGAAAAATTGTTGCCCGCCCCGACCGGCCACGTACATAAATAAACAAAATGGAGGCAAAACTCAGATAATTAGAAACTACGATTTTCCAAGTTTGTGTTCAAATAAAGAATAGAAAAGAGAAGAAAAATACACAACAGGCAACAGGATATGCTGCTGAAACCGTTTAAGTAGGTTCTTTTAATTTTAAACTCGTTTACACTATAGAGTTTTTGTCACGAAATACAATTGTTGTTGAAGTTGACTTTTGTTCGTCGCTATATAACAAAACACTTAATGCCTGTTCCCTCGGGAAATAGTTTTGTTTTCCCTCGAATCTTAATGTTTCCCTCGACTTCGTCTCGGGAAACATTGAGATTCTCGGGAAAACAAAACTAACTATTTCCCTCGGGAGCAGACATTAAGTGTATATTAAACTGAAGGAATTCATTCTTTATTATATATAGTCTGTTTTACGTGCATATTTACGCTCAAAATTAGTTGGACATAGCGGGGGATTCGAGTAAACCGACTTTGAGATAACCGAGTGAAAATGATTGAAGTAGTACTGGCAAATTCACGGGAAATGGGTTTAAGTTCGAGAAAGTGGGGAGTTCGAGATAAGCGAGTTCGATATAGCGGAGTTCTACTGTCACCTTATAAACAGTCAATTTCAGCCAGAAAAAACAGATGCGCTGTCTGGTATAAGGCCGACTTTATGTGACACCTCTAACGTCGCAACAAACTTTCACACGTTGCTCCAAAGATAATGCTAAGTTTAACATTGTGCTCAGAAAGTATTAAAGGATCACAAAATATTCATATTTTTTGTCTTGTATGATAGTGGGGCGGATTGGTGAAAATAATCGTGCATTTGGCATAATGTTATAGGGTATATCCTGAGGATATTTTTTGGCTATATAGGGGCATTACAAATTATTCCCTGGTCGCAACAAAGTTTGGGGTTTTTTTACCTATTAATGTACTATCTTATAAAAAAGTGAAATTTCAAAGTTCACCTTATATCACCTATATCTTTAGAAAGCTCGCAAATGTAGGGCATTTAAACGGCTGCTACGATTTTCGACACCGATTTCAAGTGTTTTATATGTTACCTATATAATATATAGAAAGAGAATAATACAACTTTGGTATAATATAATTCGTTATTCACGAATACATAGCTAGATTAATTAATTGATCAATAAGTTGCCTTGATATAGCACGACCTGACATTAAATTTGGCGACGAGATCTTATTTCCTGGTCGTCACATGGGCGACAAAATGTTTTTTTAATTTCAACTCCTGCTAATTGGAGAATCTGTGGTGCCACATTTTAGTTGCATTTAATTACAGGTTTTCAGCGGGTTTAAATTTTCAACCCCGAACCCCGGCCGTATATTTTTTCGAAAATGTTTTACAAAATCAGGTAATTTGGACCCCCCCCCCCGTCCCACACCAACGACAGTCTTCGCCACGTGCTTGTAAATAAATTATAGAACAATTCTACAACAATGCTGCATCATTTGAAATTTATTTTGTTTAATGGAAAAATCCAATTCTCTACAAACATGATTATAATATGATAACACTAATGTATCATCATTTGTGTAATGTATACAAATAACATACTATTGTTATTTTCTACGTATTAGCAAGCAAATAGTTCCCTGAAATGTGACGGAAGGTCATCTCATGGACATGGTCCGGGAAGGCGCACGGGTTTGTTGCCTTGACAACACATCTTCTTACTGGGATTAATGTATTTCTGGCCACAGCACCTATGCTTGCTATCTTTCTTGCTATAAATCTTACCACAACAGCAAACATGAGTGGCAGGGTCGTAATCCGTATCATCGCAAAATTCCCCTAAAATGCAGGTAATACATCGTGAGACATTGAGCGGTGTGACCTACGGTATAATCAGTAGTGCCGTAGGAACAGGTTTTATTCGAGAGAAGACTAATTTTCAGCTAAGTTGACTAACGCACTTTCTGGCTGAGTGCAAACACGGCCCACAAAACACGATCCACTGTAAAGGCAGTAGGAAGGTATTTGCCTTTTGGGCAGCAAACAAGAATCTTCGCGTTTCTGTCTTAAGGCTGATTTCCACTGTCGCGTTTTTCGTACGCACGTACACGCACGTAAAAACTTTGAATCCATCTATTTTTTAAATATTTTACAAATAAGTTAACAAATGCATACTAAAACTTGCGGAACACTAAATTCAGTTGCTTTATTTATTTGCTTATTTCATAAGTAACATTTAAACGGATTTAAATGTTATTGTAGTGTTTTAAATGTTATATGTAGTTTTACGTGCGTATACGTACGTATGAAAAACGCAACAGTGGAAATCAGCCTTTACTCTGATCGTTTTGGTGGACTTCGGCCTCCACTATTACTTCCGGGCTGGTTATAACCCCCTCCCCCTCTAGTCGCCCCCTCCCGTGCTCCGCTTGATAATCAGACACACAGATACAAACACGGATGAAATTATTACCGCGCGCATGGAGGAGGTTGCGAAGCTAAGAAAAAGTTCGCTATTAAATATTTTGAAGCTTTTCTCAAAGTGAACCGGACTCACCTGGGACAATAATCTTGACATGACATTTTAAATCAAACTTGTGTGCCACTCTGTACTTGTATGTGACTATACTTTTACCAGCAGAAAAACGTCCACTGGGCATACTAGGATTGCTCGGGCTTGGCTGGGCGGTGCAATTGGGTTTAGGTTCGGTCCAACTGACATAAGATTTTTTGTCCGCACCGGGTAAATTTTTCGCTCGTACTGTTTGGATACTGGGACATTCACAGACTAAATGAAGAAATTAAAACAACTATCACACACCAAATCGCATGAATGGCCATAGAGGTTGGAGTGGGAATTCCGTGAGGAACAAATAGGCTCTTTGCAGTTAATTAGCTAAAAAGTTTCGAGAACAATAAGTGACTGGAAAACATCAAAAGCTGTAGGATTTTTGAACAGAGGGGTAAGACAAAGCTCAGTGTTTTTCTTGCCCTCCAGATATTGTTACGCAAATAGTTTTTAGGCCAGCTGCAGAAGTGCCTATGTTGCATCTTTAGTAGTGCACTGCATGTAACACATTGCACTTTAATAGTGCACTCCAAGGGGTTGAATTAACTCAAAAAGTTTTCTTCTGTCACCAAAAACGATAAAAAACAATGGCAGAATAACGCTTTTGCAGTTGATTACACTCCTTGTAATTTACAGTGGATCCCCAGCGATTGCAAGTCCCGGATGTATGGTCGCACGCCAATTGGCTACATTGAAATCTTCCAATAGCAATACTGCCGTGACAATCTTAGCGACAACAAAATAAATATTAACGAAGCTTTCAGTAGTCCTAAATGAACAAAAACGCCCGAATTTAGTGAGAAATTACGAAAATAATACAACTTTGAAAACATGCTTGCATAGCTTAAGCAAGGAAATTCAGCAAAAATACCTGGACGTCTTTAATACAAAACAAGTCTTGGAACGGTAGGAATGTTTTAAAGTAGCTTTATGTCGATGTTGAAGAGTGGTGTTTCCTTCGTGACCTCAGCTGTCCTAATGTTTTATCATTTTCAACGATATAAAACGGAAATTTCTCAAATTTTTGCCATAAATAAATGTAAAACAAGTCAGGACTATTGATCAAACCAGGATTGAATACTTGAATTGTAGTCAAAAGGTGAAAAATAGATTTTCTTAATTGGTTTTACTTCCGGGTACATAAACTCAAATTTGCCCCATTAGCAAACTTCAATTTGTCCCTTTCGTTTGCCTGAAATTTTCCTGCAATGCACACAGTATTCTTTCATTATCTCTATGTCAATTTATGTCTTTCGTTTGATTGAATCTATCTCGCATTGCTCCCTTTTTATAATCTCTATGCGAATTGCAAGATACTGATTAAAAAGTTGTAAAAGATATTTAGTTGCTTGTGATGTTACTCTGAGTGTGTATCCACACCGGGCAGGCTTGAAAAATATGCCTGGCCACGGTGGGAATCGAACCTACGACCTTTGGAATACTAGCTAGTTGGCAGAGCATTGAGCTAGTATTCCAAATGTCGTAGGGTCGATTCCCACCGTGGCCAGGCATATTTTTCAAGCCTGCCGGTGTGGATACACACTCAGAGTAACATCACAAGCATCTTATTCACCTGAGTACACTACACCAACACAACAAATATCAGATATTTAGTTATTATCACTTACTGGCAACAGTGAACTTGACACGACATTTGAGATATCCTTTTTTTCCAGCATAATGGTTAGTGTGCGAGCTCGAGTAAGTAATCACGTGTTTTCCCAGGCCAAATTTATCTCCAGGTTTAGCATTAAGTGGATCCACGGTATAAGAGGCACCTCCGGTGCATGTTATTGGGATTACCCAATCGACCGGGGTTGTGATTTCACCTTTTTTCATATAGGCTGTAAATTTTCCACCACTATCGCCTTTGCAGAAGCATTTTCCTGGAGGTAAAAGAAGAATGATACTCATGCATGTTAAAGCGAAATAGCAATGAAAATATTATAATATATTTCAATATATTTCAAAAGCTTTTTACAGGTTTTCTTAATCCTTCGTGGTTTGAAAAATATTCGGATATGGGCGACATTACAACAAGGGAACATTAATTTGTATCTTCAGTTATTTTAATGCTTAATCCTTTTATTTAACTATTGTCGATTTTAAATTAAAGCACAGGCTATGTATAAGCTTTTCAACGATATTATTTTTTTAGGTTTCAAATGTCTAGCCTGGAACGCGTTAAGAACGTAAAGATTCTGGGAACACTAAAGACAGGTTTATGAGATTCCGTAGCGGTACTGTCGAAGACACCATCTTCATGGATATGCCACATTGCTCATTGCAGTGGACCTATATAGTCCCTGTGACCTTGGGACGATGATGTAAAGGCACAAGTATCGAGTGCCAAAGACAAGAGACCCCTATGGGGTATGCGGACAAGCTGTCCCAGAAAATTGTGAAATTTAGAGCCTCGGTATGAAACGCCATTCCGCACACTTTGGGGGAAGATTTTACCTGTGATCATAAAAAAAAGACTTATATTAGAATTGCAAATTGTTAAATTTTGCTAAAACTTGAAATGCAGGTAATACATCATGAGACATTAGTGAGCTTAAGCAAGTGACGTTTTTAGTGTGAAGTTTCTTCGAAACTTCACAGTATTGTGATGACTGGGGGGAAATTCAAACGAAACAGTCAGTCATTCAGTCAGTCATTCATTCATTCAGTCAGTCATACAGTAAACTTTCCGGGGGGTGTATACGGTATGTGTTCGTAGTGATTTATCGTACTTGGTCTGTGCTTTGAAGGTTATTTAGGCAATTTTAGTTGTCTTATTTAAATATTCTTTAGGTCTTTTGCCAAGTTTTGCCAAGTTTACAAGAAATTCGAGGAATTGTTGTCGTTATTGTAAATTTTATAACATGCGCTT